AATGGTAATTCATGTTTTGTTTTTTTTCAAACATCAAATGCAGTAAATACAAACCTGACCAGCCGAGCGTTTGCGATCACGTGAACTTGAAGACACTTGTACAAATGCGGATGGGTGACATGAATGGAAATGATTCCAGATTGGCGATGTAGTATTTGGTTTCTGTATTCTGTACTGTATTTTCATGTGCTCAAACCTGCCAATCTAAAGGATCAAACACCGTGTATGGCGTTTGAGGTAATTTGTGAATTAATGGGGGGCCATTTTGTGAACTATGCTGTTTGTTTGTACTGTGCGTGTGCTGATTTACCCCATGCTTAGAGAGATTGTTTTGGATATTTATTGTTTTGTAACGGTACTCTGGCTTACCCGACCCTTGCCTGTTGTATGATTTTGATTTTGGATTATCCCTCTGAACTTGATGTTTCTTTGTAAATATTTATTGTGAATATTGTAAATAGTTATTGGGAAAGTAAGGAGTCAGATGCCATCTTCTGTTTTTGTAACGTTTGGATCTGTTTTTGGATTAGGTAGTTAGGTTAGATAATTGTATTTTTTTGTTTCTTTATTTTGGATAGGTAATTTAGAGGGTTCAATATGTAGAACGTTTTGTTTATTATTTTGGCACCGTCGGCTCCTGAAAGTGGACTCCCAAATAAAAATGTTCACACATGTTTTTTTTTTTTCATGTTGCGCTCTACCCCTAGACGGGGCGTAACACCATAGACTTATAGTCTAAATGAAACAATTTGCAACTGTTACTATTATTACACTTGTATACAAAACTTTGTATTATGCTTGTTATAGAGTGTGTGACGTCACGTGCACTACCGCCGGTGGCGCGGTGATCACGGTGACCGTCACAGCCCTACTGTGCAATGATGTAGTTTATAGCTACTTTATGCAGGCTGTGTGCATTTGACTGTGGATTTACTGTTTTGAAACTTATATGGTAGTTACATAGCACCTAGACCTCAGTTATCATGAAAAAAGCCAGGAAATGTCAGTTTTGACAATATGGGACCTTTAACCCAGGGGCACTGTAAATTTGTGATAAACTTGTCTAATCAGTTGGCAGCAGTACAACATGGGAACATGGTTCATCACTTTGACATGCTTTAGGGCTTTAGGTAGTCTGTGATGTGATCTATTGCACTGTAGGGAGCAAAGACTAGGATTTACAGATATTTGGCCTAATACTGGCAAGTATTCTCTGTGAAATTTTGAGTTGTGATGGAGACCTTTAACTCTTAAAATGGGAAAAAAATCCAGAAAGCAAGGCAGTGAGCTTTTAGCTTAAATTATGGCAAGGACAACATTAAACGTCAGAGCCTACGAAGTTGCAATAATGGTCTAAAATGTTTACTTCTAGATTCACAAAAACTCAAATGTAATTTTTATTAAAATAATATGTATTTCAATTTTGCAAATAAGCATTGTATAAAAGTTGTCAAGAGAGACAAACCCTCAGATCCATTGAGATTTGAGATGAGCACTTCACAAGAGGTTTTTGAAGGTTTTCCCTAAAATATCCAATACTGACATTTCACTTGACTTTCGGGTGCTTGCAAATATAAATACTAGTTGCTAAGCAACCATACATTCCATACACAAAATGCAATTAGCCACAGTCCCTTCCCGCATGCAAAGTTTGATGAGTTTTCACTATAGTACAAAGTGCCATAAAAATTAAATAATAGTAGTAATAATAATAATAATAATTATTATTATTATTATTGAACCAAATTAATTTGGACTTCATCATGAATACAGAAGCCTCTTACCAGCAAAGAGAAGAGTAAATGTGATGATAAGTTGGTAAACAGCATGACCCAAGATGTTCTTCATCATAGTCCTGGAAATGAGTGGCTTGTTTCGTCCGTAAGGTTTTCTCAGCAGGAGCGCTTCTGTTGGGGGTTCCGTTGCCAGAGCCAAAGAAGCCAGTGTGTCCATAATCAGATTTACCCACAACATCTGAACAGCTTTAAGTGGAGAGTCCTGCAGACAAAACAAACCGAAGTGAGACTCCACAGAAAGGACATTACTACAATATTGTCATACGTAATGTAGTTAGGCAGGGACACAACAAGTCTGGCCGGCCCCATATTATCCAATGCCTGGCACCAGCACTAAATGGCCTCAGAATGTTTCTGTAAATACACAATAAAACATATCGCTTGTAGAGTTCTGTTATTATGGCACATGAACTGTCTCCCACAACGCCATGCTTAACCACCAAATACTCTTGTGTTTATACTCTTGAAACCCAGCAATTTATTTTTGTCTTCTGCAGTGGTTATTTCTCGAAGACTACATATGCTACATTTAAAGTCTGAATATTTAACTTAAAGAGGACACAGTATTCACAGTACTTTTTTTTAACCTGTAGCATCTTGCCTGAATTTTGAATTTGATAAATGACCTGATGTGCTCTACTTAGGACAAAATAAGAGTGTGAAATATCAAAACATGAAAATTATTATATGATATTCTCCACTCAAGATTCATATTTCTTATTTCAAAACACGAAACAATTATATAACAACATAAACCTATATGCCGGGTCCCAGGAAGTTAAGTCAAATGATGTACATTTACCTGTGTGATGCAGGCTCCAGTGAAAGCAACAATCACAGCCACCACATTGACAGTCAACTGAAACTGCAGAAACTTGGAGATACTGTCGTAGACATTACGCCCCCACATCACAGCTTTGACAATACTGGTGAAGTTGTCATCGGTAAGAATGATGTCAGAGGCCTCCTTTGCAACATCTGTACCTGCAATACCCTGTAAGACAAAGAAAGCAACTGCTTTTTAGAATGCCTTCATAAATATCAGAGCAGTCTACTTCATGAATAACTGCAGATGCAGGTTCATTCTTGAGAATGGAATGGTTCTCTTTAAAATGAAAGTTGAAAGAAAGAGAAAAACTCAAAAGAATATTAATTGGGCCTTTTCTTGGCTTAGGATTTGTTTTATATAAAGACATTTAAGCTGAATGAATTTTCAGAGAAATTACCAAAGTGGTTATGTAAACAGCACAGTAAATTGATGACCCAAATTAAACCATATCTTTTGACAGCTTCAGGGTGTCTATTTCTGAAATAATTTACTATGCCTGCCCTCATCCTAACCTAATGTCCTTCAGACGGCAGTTAGCACAATTGCACCAACTACTGCTTTTGAAACAGACCCTCTTAGACTTAGACAATATATAAAGAGTGAGAAATATGAATTTAATTCACTACATATAAAATGCATTTCTGAAAGCACATTAATTATATCATTGCTTAAGTTGTGGAGTCATCTGAGCAACAAGCAGGGGTCAACCACTTATCAGCTAGTACAGCATGTTGCGATGATACCCTGAGGCATTCTGGCTTGCTGCAGAGCAAGAGATACTGGGCAGGGATTAGGACGCAACCTCTGTGGTTAAAGCAATTTACGCTACAGTACATCATTGGCTGCCAAAACCTCATCGAACGAGCCAGACTCTCATCCGGCAACTGTCTCTCACAATAAAAAGACAAAACCAAGTGGTCTAAAACAGACGATCAAAAAATGAGAGTATATGCACAATATGCTTGGATAAAACCAGTATTTGTAAGAAAAACATAAATGGTATGATTATAGGGGGGGAAAAAACATGATTTACCATAGCAAAGCCAACATCTGCTTTTTTAAGGGCAGGACCGTCATTAGTGCCATCTCCAGTCACAGCCACCACCTGTCTTGTTTCTCCAACTGTGCTATCAATGATGCCTAAAAGACAACACCACAAGAACTAACCAAAAGATAAGTGACATAGGGCTCATAACAATGAGAGAAGACACCAGCTCCCCTCCAGTGGGGTTTCAAACACTTTGGTTTTTTTTAGCTTAAATTGTGATGTTATCAGTGAAAGAGCGGACTAGAAGCTCACCCAACCATCGGTAAAGATCTTACCTTTAACCAGAGTGTGTTTGTCTGTTGGGGAGGAACGAGCCAGAACACGCAATTTGGGCCAGACCTTGTCAAGACGCTCTTGTTCAACCTAAAGATAAAGGCAACGCTGAAATAAGCACTTTCCATGTTGACTTAGACATCTGCAGATAAAGCTCTGTAGCTCTTTACCTCTCCTTTGTCATTACGAATCTGCTGGTTGAAGTCTTTGCCGTCCATGCAGAGAAAGTCCTCTCCAGGCTGCAGGATTCCACATTTGGTGGCAATGGCACGGGCTGTGTTGATGTTGTCTCCGGTGACCATACGGACAGTGATGCCTGATCGCTGACATTTAGAGATAGCGTCAGGAACCTGCACATGGGAAGAATAGAAGGACCATTATTTGGCTTCGTACAATGCATGTTGAGCAGTCCAACAACAACTACCATATCCTTATCCACTCCGATGTTGAATCTGGAGAGAAATAGATTTGATAAGTGGAAAAAATAGAAATAAATAAATAAAATACAGATCAATGCAAAATAGTCTGGATGGACTTGGATCAAGCTATGTGAAAAATCCATACCAGAGGATTTAGCAATAACTTATCAAGAATCCAATCATTTTCTCCCTAGTTGTATAATAATGGCAAAATCTACGATAAATAAACAGCTAATAATGTAATTCTCCCCATTTTAGTCAGGTAATGAAAAAACCTCAAACAATGCTTTTTTTGTTTTATAGTCACTAAAATTATTACATTAATGTTTTTTTGGACTATGTACAGTAAAATAATGTGTTGACTACACTCTTTGTATTCATGTTTTTCACTTCATCTTAACTTGGTGCATGAAAAAAACGCATGACTAGCGTAGTCTGATTCATGAACAACCAATTTTGAGTGGATTCTTGTAGTGAATCATTTAAAAGACTCATCAGGAGCAGTTGTTTATTAAATTAATATCTCACTCATTAACACAACATCTGAAAACGTCACAAAAAAAGCACAGAAATGAATCATATTTAATGAATGTTTTTATATACTAACAAGCAAGACAAATTTCTTCCTCAGTGTCATTGCTGCCTCAGATCAGTGAGAGATGAGGACATTGCAATCACTCTTGGTGTGGCATCCTATCAGCTCGTGGTGTGTGTTAAGCGGTAAGGGGTACAGAGACGACTTAACACATGAAGGGGCTGGATCCAGAGGTTTTGTGTGTGTATGCTGGGAGTCCTATGTAATTATCCGCACTCGTCTTGCGATGAATCACACCATACCCGTAATTAGAACCAATAAGCTCATTTATTTATAGATAATTAAAAACCTCCCAGTGTTTCCATGGACAGAGATGCTGCACAAGTGATGCATGTAAAAACATGATGTAGGATTGAGAGAAACTAGTGTGTGCATTAAAAAAACTCTAGACTTGACTCTTGCCTTGCCTGTGACAGCAGAAATCAACTTAATCTACAGATGGCTCTGATCATTACTGCAAGAGTAATTTTCACTAGGACAAAAAGATTCAAGCCCATCTTATTATCCCTACATGGCTCCACGACTTAATTTCAAAGCTGTAAATGGGCTAGTTGCCACTATCATGCCTTAACATAATATTGCCCTCGTCATCAACTCAAACCATAAGACACAGGCTTTTTTATCAGCTCAAAGTGAGCTTATTGTTAGAGAAGCAACTATGAAAGTCAGACAGACTCTAGTATTTAGGACTGGGTTAAAAACAGAGCGTCTGACTGTATTGTAAATGGAAAGAGGATGACAACTGATTCAGCAAGCAGCAACGGTTCTACACACCAATTAATTTCCATGAATTTAAATTTCCAGGACTTTTTCAGTTGGTTTATGATTACTCAATAAGGACTTTTAAATATAATCTAATATGAAATCACAAAAATCAGTTTCTACTGATTTTTGTTCCCCTTGATCCACTCATAATGATGCGAAGCTGACATGCTTAACAGAAAAAAATAACCACATAGTTGTGGACATATAGAAAGGATGATTTGTAATCACACTGTAGAAGGGAACAGAGATAAAATGGATCGTACCACTCAAAAAAGCCTGCAGGAATAATTTTAACCTAAATATCAGTCATGCGTTCCATTATAGAATTATATATGCCATCTAATTGGAGGGAAGCTGACGTCAATTCTGCACTGATCCAATATCATAATCAAAAACAGCACAATCGCCTGTCATGTACTTATTTTACCACCTTTAGTGGATTTAGGTCAGTTTGTCCCTCCACCAATGAGGCTATTCCTGTCCACACTTTCACATAGTGCTTGACACTCTGCAAATAATCCATCATCATCACATGATAATCACGGTCAATACAATTTCATTACATGAAATGTGGCGGGTTGGCCCAGTCACGACAAGCCACCCCCAAATGCTGGTCATGTCTCATTATGAATGGAGGCCTGAAGTATACAAATCTCCAGCCCATGTGAAGCATGTAATTTTGGCACTATGGACAAATGCAATAGTATTAGCAAATAGCAAACTGGACAATTTCGCTCACCTCAGGACGAACAGGGTCTTCAATGCCCACAACACAGATGCAGGTCAGGTCATTCAGAATGTCAGCCTCGTTGTCCCAGTCTGGCTCTGTTGTGAAGTTCCTCATGGCTACGCAAATGGTCCTTAACCCGTCACAGGCCATTGGCTCGATCACTTTCCGCACCATCTCATCCCGATCTTTGGCCTTGAAGACACGTGGCTGGCCTGAAGCATCAAGGATATGGGAACACCTGACAGAAAAGAGAAAAGTTTAATAACCACTCAAAACTACAATTACTACATTTTGCTTTAAAGGAAGAAGATGCAACAAAGGAGAAAACCGAGGAGAAATGGAAAAAAGGGATCATATCATTTTTTCTATTATCTTATTCCCTTCACCTCTATTTAATTTTTTTTTTTTTCTGTTGTGCCTTTAAGAAGCACCCCCTTAATGCTTCAGGTTTGTGACACTGAAAAACCAAAAACTTCAGAACTCATTCTTACTGCAGTCTTTTTGGACTGAAAGTTGTTTTCCCACTATATCAAACTCCTTTATCTCTAAACAAAGATTAAGTAAAATTTTATTTCTTATGATATGACCCCTTTAAGAGCTTGAGAATTAATTTAGCATACTTGCGCAGGACAATCTCAGAGGCACCCTTGCTGTACATTCGGAAGCCAGGACCACTGGTGTTCTTTAGTACGGTACTCATGCTCTTTCGGGAGGAGTTGAACGTGTACACCTTATAAAGTTTTTCCTCAGGAACTTCATCTCTAATAGGCTGATAGTCTCTCTTCAGGTCCAACACCATACCAAGAAGGGCACACTCTGTCTTATTACCCACATGCCTTGGCAGACCTCCCTCCTTCTCTGAAGGCTATGGGAAAGAAAGATAGATCGTAAATAACAGGTAAGAAAAGTTCAAAAACTATACATTAGATATTGTCAATCAAAAAAAAAAGTGAGGTAAACGGAATTGATTACATGACATATGGCAATTATTTTATCAAATTAATTGCATTTAATCACACATATTGATATTTTCTGAGACAAAACCCCCAAATTTAAATAACTGAAACATCGTGGCAGAAGAGTAAAGCACTGAATAGACATCACAAAAATGGCTGCAGAAGTCCATATATTGTTTGAACAAGTTTTTCTCTGCCTGACGACAATCAATTTCGCTAACGGTTTGAGTTGTCCATCTGTTTGATGAAGCCTAAGTAGTAGTTCAGACTACGGTCATTATTTATATACTACTAATACATTTTTTTTTGAATTTTTTTATTATTATTAGTTTTCATTTTAACTTTGATGTCATATGCTCTTGTCATTTTTTTTTTTACTGTCTACAGTTAATTTATTATTTCAGTTTTAGGCCAGTTTTTGTTAATTTCAAGTAAATTTAGTGCTTCAACAAAGTTAGTTGTCAAAGGGCAACATTTCTAATTTTTGTGAAGTGTTTCATCGAATATATTAACATTTTATTTTATTTCAGCTCAAGTTAACAAAAATGTTTTTAATATAGTACAGTAGTCAACATTTGAAGTGGATCAAAACCTTTTATCAAAGTTGTCCTAAAACCAAAACAATACCCATTCTTGTCTTAGGACATCTTTGATCAACTTTTTTGATCCACTTCAAATGTTGACTACTGTAGTTTTAGTTAACGGTAATAATCCTGGTTCAGAATTGTTGCTCTATGTACACATGCAGACTAATGTCTATGAGCATTGTGTTTTTCTGCATCTACACGTTTAAGACAACACACTAAGTAGTACAACTTTCTTCACAATACATCAAGTCCCCTGCGTTTGGTTCCATTCTGCTATGCTCTGTCTAGCCGTCTTAACTCAAGAAAATGCCTTATGCGAATGACTCAGTCATTTTGTGCTGTCTGCTCTTGGTAAGTGTGTTTTGGCTGGGGCTGTCTGTGGACTTCTAATTTGACAACCCTATAATTAATAAATAAACAGAAAACAAAACAGATCATTTATTCATCTGTATCTCATTTGCGTACGGCTAATTCTTACCAGGATCTTGGTAGTGTAGGCTGAGTTTATGGAGATGCTGTTCACCAGTAGCTCCAGAGTCTCGGAATTAATGGCCTCTGGTTCAGGAATGCTTTTATAGTGTGTGTCACCTATGTAAGCCTGCACCACCGTCATGCGATTCATAGTCAGCGTTCCAGTTTTGTCAGAGCAGATGGCTGTGGCATTACCCATGGTCTCACAGGCATCCAGGTGCCTCACCAGATTGTTGTCTTTCATCATTTTCTGTTGAGGAAAACAGGAATTAATGTGGTTATACTTGGGGAAAGGAGTGTGCTTTAGCCCTCAAACATAGATTAGCACAAATGTAAAGAATCAAGCAACATTTACTGACTTATATCCCCCTGAACACCCTCAAGACATCAACAAATTACAGGTTTGAGTTGGCAAACTAACCCAGAGGCTCTCACCTTGACTGAAAAAGCCAGAGAGATAGTGACAGCTAGAGGCAGCCCCTCAGGCACGGCTACCACAAGCACGGTCACACCAATAATGAAAAACTTCACAAAGTATTGAATGTAGATTGGAGTGCACTCTGCCGTCCACTCACGGCCCTGGACACCGAACGTATCAATGACAAAGAACAGGATAAGGATGATGACGGTCACCGCAGACATGATGAGACCTGCCGGAGGAGAGGGGGTTTCAAAACCAATATGGCACAGAGGGAAAAAAAGCCTCCTGACTTGAGTTCATAACAGCAACAGCTGTGGCCTGATGTGCTCCATCTGAATGTTATTTGATTGGGTAACTCTACGAAGTAGGATAATTAGGTGGAACACAGCCCAAAGGGACAAGCTTGTTTCCATACTGGGTGACACTGTTTCTTTAAGCAGTAAGTAAAACAAACCATGGGAACCAAATGAACTAATTTACGGAAATGACGTCTGAAGGAATGCATGTGCTTTTGAACACATGGCTAATTAGTATAAATATTTTGCTTTAAAGCTGCACTTTGTTTGCTATGGCAAATATGGCAGTCATCTTAGAGTCATCTGATGTAGCTATAGATCATTTGAAACATGTTTTCCAAAGTTATCTTGATTTTTTGGTTTACAAAAAAAACTAAATACATAAAAATAGAGATATGATATATAAAATTGTTTAAATTTCAATATCGTAGAGCCTTTTAAATCCTATTAAATTTCACAACATATATCAGGAGGAATCATTTCAGCCTAACAGCTGTCTAGTAGATTCAAAATGTGAATCAATCAATGTCAAATGTGAATCAGTTTTAGAAAACAAATTCACAGGGAAAAAAAGACTCAAACCTACCAACTCTAACATTGTTTTTGATACTGAAGTTTAAAGCAACAAAACATCAACGACAAAATCAAAGCATGATAAAAAACTGTTGGGAAAGTAATATTTAACCATTACTGAGATGGTATGTGGTATACACGTTTATTGGGCACCCTTGACACTCAGTTGTGCGGTTTTCTAACCTGCTTTTCCAATCTGAACAGCTAGCCTGGTCAGCTTGCCCTGCAGGACCGACTTTTCTTTCTTGGTGACGTTGACCTTCTTTTTCTCCTTTTCTTCTTTCTCCTCCTTCTCCTCTGACTCCACACCTTCCTCGCTCTTCAGCGGTTGGATCTCCAGAGCAATGCCATCCTGGGTCTTAGCTGTGGAGGTTGATTTTTAAGGAGTGGTTATGGGAACAAGGGAGGAACATGCCAAAAAAGGATGGAGGGAGATGAGAGGCAGGGGGAATGGGGAAAAAGGGAAGAGGGGAGAGAATGGGCAGTTCAGTAACAGCTAAAGGGTAAGTCATACAGTGGGTTCCTAGAGAATTATACAGAAGAACCATATCAGAAGCGCTTGATTAATGTTAGTTGACTTTGCTTGAGTGAATCTGGGCTGGTAAAGAGAGAGCTCTAAATTCACAGAGCCATTCCCCGGCAGGTTAAGGTGGGCACAGTGAATGGAGTATGACCCAAGCAGCACACAAGACGTTTCCATTGGCACTGAACAATGAGCTACTCGTTTATAATACCATTATAAATATAAAATAAACTATTAGGTGTGTAAACCTCAAATAGCAATGAAAATGTCTTCTCTATTTTATTATCCGATTAGTTGAAATTAAATTTGCCTTTTATTTCTCTTATGGTTGTTTTACTGTGCCATCATGGCTCCTCTGGAGGTTGCATCTGTTGATGTTCAACCCACTTTAAAACAACTTACTGGACTTGTGCAATATTGTACTACAAATAACTGCAAGAAACTGAAATAGACATAAGGGAACTATACATTTATCGAAAAAAGACATTATCAAGGCAAACCAGCTGCTAGTTAAAATAAATTTTGGGAACTTTGATAGTTTTAATTAAATTATGCTACTTGCAGGGATAAAATGACATATTATATTACCCAATTTCCCACTGAAATAGAAACTTAATGGAGTCAAAGATCCAATTCAGCCACTTTGCTGTGGATAGACATTGATCCCTCACCCCCAATTCCCATTAAGTCTCCATTTTAAAAGATACAAAGAGGCCAAGTCGTTTTCATTTTGCAGTTAGCAAACAGTGTGCAACATGCTGAAACTCTGTAGTGGTGGAGTTTGAGAAACAGTCCAAGAGCCTACCTGACCACCAGTCACAACAAACAACTGACCAGAACGGACAGAGCTGACCAGAACGACCACACATGAATCGGGGATTGATGGACGGACTGACTGTCTGACTGACAACACGAACAGATGCACGCACGACGAACAAGAGAGTGATTTACAATCAACTTAAAAACAGAAAAAACGGTCCAAACAGCCAGAAATACAACCACCACGAGAAAAACAAGGACCAAGAGGAATACGAAAAAGATCAGAGAGAATCTGGTTTATTTTTCCGCTCCCAAAAGAGAGAGTGCGTTACCAGAGAAAGAGGTTATAGGAGAAAGAAAAGGTCAAATTTTGACCAAGAGAAGTGTACGAGACAGCATGAAGTCCTGAGCCACACCCTAGAAAGAAGCAACAGTGAGAAAAACAAAGAGCTAAAGTAAAGGAACGGACAAAAACAACAATCCACAGCCGGTCCATTTTGCAAGGGTGCAACTCCCACATAAGCCAAGCCCCTAAGCATTACATTCACATCATAAACCATCTATGAAGCTAGGAACACATTGTACTGGGCAATGTGCATCTGTACAAAAGCTCATGGATGCATATAAACAATAAATAAGTCAACGTGAGACCCTGTTCGTAACACACTGTTCTTGTTCTTGCTATGCATTTCAGAGTGCAAAAAGGACAATAAATCCCAGAATTGATTAGAGTGTGAAAAGCGGGTGTTTCATACAAGACAATACCATAGAGCAAGACCTGAACATGATTAAATCTTCTAAAATAGCTTTTTGGCTAACACTTAAAGACCAGGGGAAGACATACATACATACTCAGTGTTAAACCAATACCAGCTTGTGTGCTTGAGACCAAGGGTAAAAGGAAGGAAATCTGTGCAGACAAAATGAGCAGTTCTGTCTGGAGCAGATTGCTCAGTCCCCGAGCGCTACAGGGGGTGGGGCTGGGGAGGGATTGTTGGGGTCAGCCAGGGCAGAGTGGGCACACTCTGAAACACAGTACAAATGTTCACAGATGACCCAGCCAAGCACACAGAGATAGTTAGCTTCTGAAAGGGAGAGGTATCTAAATGTCACATTAGTCAAAATTTAGATCTACATAAGAAAAGTTGATACATGCAATCATTAGGGTTGCCAATGTAAACATTCACGTATGACATTAACCAATGTTTTATGCCGAGTTTATCAAATCCAGTCCTTTAAACAAAAGGCATTTGAAGTTTTTATGGTGGAAATTAAATATTAAAGTATGTCCGAAATACTATGTACGAGCAGAAAACATTGCAGATAATAGGGATGGGTAGGATGGTCGACTAGCTGTCAAACCATCAGCTACTCTAGTCAACGACTTTGACTAGTTTGTCTAGATTTAAAAACGTTCTCTTTCATTGTTGCAATGCATCTCTCACTATGACATATTACAAACCTGTAAGTGAACGCTGACTGCACTACACTGAGAAAACGTAAGTAACGTAAAAAATATATATTTATTTCAGAAAAAATTTGAGAATGACGTAAAAAATTTTTTATTTGAAACTAATTTTAGATTCATTGATATTTAAATCAACTGACAAACTCTGTATAAAGAGGAGCTGCAGAATTGCAAAGTCTTCTGGCTGCTTAGTGCCGTTTCCAGCAGGTGAGAGTTGCACCCTTTGATAGGTAAAGCAAGGCGAGAAGCTCCCCCGGGCTCAGCAGGAAGGGGTAAGCAACAGCGGGGAAGACAGAGAGAGAAAGTGAGCAAGTGAGTGAGTGGGACTGACACGAGACTCCGAGACTTGCTGCTGAATGGGGAGGTGGGGAGGGGGGAGAAGGGAGAGGGAGTGGGAAAGGTTACCTTTGTTGCGATTTTCAGGGGGTCCTTGTTTTTTACCTGTTTAAAACGAGAGAGAGAGGGCGGAGGGCTGATATAACATGGCTCAAAGTAAATAAACCAAAGACAGAAGAAGAAAAGAAAGAAACACAACAACAAAAGAATAAAAACTAGATAAGTAACAATACATTACATGAGTATATGTGGGATTGGATGTGTCATCTATAGAAAAAGACAAGGACTGGAGGGCTTTATGCAGGGTACACTGACGGCTCGGTCATTGTTTTTGACTGTGGCATACAGTAGGCTTGCCGCGATAGACGGTGCTGACGGTTATACCGGTGTTAAGCCGCAACACCGGTTACGTCACTTGCCCACCGCTGCACCGACCCCCACCGTCATTTTTATTTTTTTTATAGAAATAAAAATAATTTAGTTCAGTAAAAGAACAGACACTACAATTAAAAACTGAACGCGGCTGCTCAATGCAGCGTGCCGAACGACAGTAGCATCACA